CGGTGCGGGCTGTGAGGCCTAGTCCTCCATTCTCTCTTCGGTCTGCGGCCAGACATGAGCCGCCGCCACCACAGCCTGGTGAGTGCTAGAAAAGGGCCTCAGTGGCCGGCTCGTCCCGGGGAGAGGTCACTGAGCACCCCCTGGGGAATGGGGGAGGGTTGCTGTTTCAAGGAGGACTGGTTCCTTTATTTGGGATTTTTATATGTAGCTGAATGTAAACAATGTTATCAGTGTGTGTGTGTAATGTGGGGTACCTGTCTTGGGACAGATTTAGGGGGCTGCCCTTGCAGGCCTGAAAATGCCTTGCCCTGGCTGTGCTGCCATTACAGCCCATGACTTGAATAGGCAAGTGGTTTATGAATACAGAACTGCCGGTGTGTACTCCGGTTCCAGGTCAGCAATTCGAGGCTTCATGCACACTGGTGTATAGATGGAATTAAAGTGTTACTCCACCTTTACAATACAATTTCCTGTGCGCTCCAGTGTCCCTGATATATTCAAGAAAACACGGATCAGATTTGGAAAAAAAGAAAAAGGTTTTTCTTTTTCCAGACCTGTCTGAAAAAACCCTGGTAGGCCACACCCCATTTTACAGAAAAAAACCCCAACATCCTGCTCAGATGGCAAGATGCCCCGGATGTTGGAAGCATGGCCCCAGCACCTTAGGAACGAGCGGTCTGGCCCTTTATAAAGCACATGCGCTGTGCTTTTCGCAGTAGTGTCTGAGATCAGTGTTGTGCGTCAGGGGAGCGTGCAGTGCGTGGGTTTTGAATGAGCCGGACCACCCATTCCTGGGGGGTGGGTGGGCTCCCAATATCCGGCACGTCCTGCCAACTAAGGCACAAGGTGAAGGGATCGCCTACTTAGGGGTTTTTCTTCCAGGCCCTGCACAGCTTCAGGAATGACATTGAAAAGAAGCTCCTTTAAAAGAAAAGCAAAAAAAACTGCAGTTTTTTTTTAATGTACAGGGGTGCTGGAATGAGAAAAGATGTACTGTAGAGGTGAAATAACCCTTTAAAGTGCAACTGAAGCCACAATTTTTACTTTTGAATGGAGTGGAGAAGAATTAGAACAGCTGTCAGGTTTTTCTTACTGTCCATGTCCCTGTTAGGGAGATTCACCCTCTCTGTTTGTCCTGGTGAATGTTATCACTGAAAGTGAAAGAAAATCCCAAATTGTGACCATAACAGGAATAGGGGGCAAATCTTCCAATGGTGACACTATTTCTGGTAACAATTAAAGTGACGCTAAACTCAGTTGTTAAATCCTAAAAATACATCCAAGTACTTTAACTATTAACAAAAATTATCTTATTTGTGTATCCCTCGGCTGTAGATCCTCAAATCATCTCTGAATTGGTGCTGACACTGTCCTTCCTTCTGGAGGGGGGCTTCTTTTGTTTCCCACGGTCCCTGTGTGTGTTGTGAAGTAGTCACCTCTCCAAGCTCACTCCTGTGATGGACTACAATCCCAATACAAATCAGTAAACTGAACATGAGATTGTAGACCATCACGGGAGTGAGCTTGGAGCAGTGACTACAACACACACAGGGGCCTTGGGGAGTAAAAGTAGCCCCCCTCCAGAAGGAAGGACAGTGTAATTCAGAGATGATTTGAGGATCTACAGCCGAGTGATACACAAATAACATACATTTTAGTTAATAGTTGAGGTACTTGAATCCATTTGTAAGATTTAACTCCTGAGTTTAGTGTCACTTTAGGGGGGGATTTCCCTCACTTTGGAGACAACTTCCTCATGTGACTAGGATAGGAAGCATTACGGAATCTCCTCAATGGGAAAACAAAGGACAAAGTAAATCAACAGAAGTTATAACCCTCTTAAAAAAAAAAATTGCCTTTAGTCCTTCTTTAGGATTCATACTATGTTCAGTCATTCATTCTGAATGACCAAAGGTCCAAAGTAATGCTGTGCTGCTGCCTACACAATATTGACGTTTCCATGGTGCACTGCTTCTACTATCAGGAAGCCGATTCAGAGCAATGATGTGCAGTTGACAATGAAGCGAACATGTAGACAGGAAGTGGTTTGGGTAGATGAGCATTACTTCATTTGAAAAAGGTGAAGCATTGCCTTCATTTATAATACTCAGTGCTTTAGCAAACTACATTTCACCCAGTTGTGGTTTAGGTCTTCTTTAAGTACTTTATACAAAAAAATGTATGTGTGCTTTATAAATATTTATATGGGGGCAGCCATATGTGCTTCCTGCTTAGTAGTAGTGTGCAGTTAATGAGCTATGCGGTGCATCTTTGTTAAAGTCACGGTCCCTTTAAAGAAAAACTCCAGGAAAACTTTTAATTAACCCTTGCAATGGGGCTACCCCCGCATTGCAAGAGTTAAGTGCACGTTTGTGTCTAGGGAGAAAAATAATGAAGATATAGTCACCCGAAGCAGCCAGCTGTCAGAGCGTTCCCCCAGCCTGCCTTTTCCTGTATTCACTGTGTGTAGACGTGATTATTTACGGGACCTTAGACCGCTGCAGAGGAGGGAGAGAGAATCTGGAAGGGCTGGTCTAAGGCCCCATTCACACCTAGGCGTATTGTAATATGCGCGTTTTTACCGCGCGACCCCGAAGGCTACTTGGCTGTGGAAAACGCCCTACAAAATGGCCCAAAGTAGTACCTGGATCTTTTCAGGCGTGGGCCGTTTTGTATGTCGTTAGGGACGGGCGGAAATACGGCAAGGTGGGAACGAGGCCATTGACTACAATGCAATGTATATTTTTGAACGTTTTGTAGAGCGTTCGTTGAGCGTAGAACGCGCTACAAAACGGTCAGGTGTGAACGAGGGCTAAGAAGAAGCCAGTTTAGAGCATTGACTGAGTATGTGTTTTTGTTTTTTTACCTAGACACAAACAAGCAGTTAACGTCTGCAATGTGGGGGTAGCCCCTTTAACAAGCAAAAAGAAAGTTACTTATGTGTATGAAGAGCAGGTACCTGCACCCTTTGCTTGAGCGTCATGCTATTCTGATGGGGAAGGGTGTCTGCACTTACTGGTAGTACCAAAGCTTGTTTGCAACTTGCTACATTTTCCTATTGATTCCTGTTGGCCAGTGAGGCAGCCCATCATGGTGATGAGCCAAAATAAATATTTTGGGACAGAATCGGGCAAGTTCTGGCACTATCAGAAAGTGTCGGGGCTATGATGGTCATCAGTCAGGCAATGCTGAACATGGAAAGCTGCTTCCAGGTATCTGCATTTCTAGGTGCCGGCACTCTATACCTGTAGAAAGTGAAGATCACAAGCACTCGAGAAATAGCATTAAATCCTTGTGTTAATTTATTGAAGAAAGTCATCACATACATCAAATAACCAACGTTTTGGGGCCATGTTTGCCCTTCATCAGGGCACATATAGTGATGAGTTCACTATGTTTGCCCTGATGAACGGACCCTGCATGGCCCCTAAACATTGGCTATTTGATGTATGTGATGATTTGCTTCAATAAATGAACACAATGATTTAATGTCCTTTCTCAAGTGCTGGTGATCTTCACATTCTACATGTTTGATGTGCACACCACCATCTGTGACTATCACTACGAGCACCACAGCTGTTATTGGTTCTAATCGCTGTAAGGAGTGCAGGAGACATATCTGAATACTATGCATTTCATTCCTGTCAGATGCTTTATGTTTTGTTTATGCTGTGCTACTATACTGCTGGAACTGTCCATGCCACCAGATGCCAGTTGGGACCACTTGCAAGAGAACCATGCGCTGCAGTATGAACCTTTTTGCATTTAGAAGCATCACTGTAAGAAACCATGCCTAGTGCATTGCTAGGTTGCGTAAACTGTGAATCATTATAGAGGAGGATGCCATGATGGCAGTTCTTAGCATTGACATCTCCAATAGTTGAAATTTGCTGTTGAGGTTTATGATCTCCTGGAGCAGCATACAGGAATGGTTGTATGGAAAATGACAAGTGTATTTTAACACTAGTCAGGAAGCAGACTTGTATGCTAGTTCTGGTTTGAAAACCTTGCCTGATGGTGTTGATTCCTCCTGGAGCTTTCTGCAAACTCCTCTCTTCTACAAGCCAAAATATTCATGATTTGGGACTACAGGTCAATGGACATGCCTATTGCCATATTCACTGTTCCTCTGTCTTGGTGTGATTCTGCTAGAGTAAAAATAAAGTGCGCTCATTGGCCAGGATTTTATTTAAGGAGCAGTTAGTTCGGGAATGATTACAGTGAGATGCAAACATTTTCAAATCTGTGTCCTACAACCACGTAACTGAAGTGCATGGCACCCATGTAAAACTGTGTACACAGCAAACATTTGCTTCTGCCTATATGTTAAAACCATATTATTTGGGTTTTTAATACAGCCTAGTATATACGCTAGTAGAGGGTTAGTCTGTAAATATTTTAAGTATGTTTCAGGCAAGGAAATATAGAAAACATTGAGCATATAAAAACACTATCATCCAAAAATATTTGGTGCTCACTGAGCCGAGAATACACTAAGTTTTTATTGTATAGAGAGAAAATTAGTCTTTTGATAACCGTAATGAAAAGGAGGAGCCAGCTTATCCATCTCATTTTGGTCTGATGTATATACTAGTGCACTGTTTGACTTTGCCAGTGTATTGCTTTTCCACTTTAGGGATGGGGTCAGACCTGTAAATTACTGGTTGTTTTCTAACAGTGGTGTAAAAGAAAAGTTGTGGTATATTTTTTCTAAACAAGTGACCCAAAATTAGTTTCAAATGGCAGCCAAAATATTCTTAAACAGCAAGATGTTAAAGGTGATTCAGTCACATGCGAAGTTAGATCATGGTGCTGTAGATCAGACTGAGAATGCAAACATTGCTTTTAGCTACCCAGACAAAATGAGCACTTAACCCTTACAGTGTGTTGGGGTAGCCCCACTGCAAGGGTTAAGATTTAATTTGCCCGCAGTTCTTCTTTAAACATCTGTCATGTTTGTATTTCTGTCTGGTCTCCCACTGGGGTGATTTTCCTTCACTTCCTGTCTTGTTAAAAAGTGAGGGGAAATCTTTCCAGTAGAGACACAGATTACAATAAAAAAACCTGACAGAAGCTCTAACCATCGTTGCATTCAAAAATGAAATTAAGGGTCTGACTGAATTAAGTTCACCCTCGCATAGGAAGTGTTCCGATTCAGTCTGCAATCACATACAGTTTTTTTAGTTGCATGATACAGTAATCGCCTCCTAATGCTACCTGACATGTATATTGTCTTTTGCAGATGTAACAGAATGGGTGTGGATTTTGATGTGAAGACCTATTGCCATAACTTAAGGGCCACAAAACCGCCTTACGAATGTCCTGTAGGTACCTGTCGCAAAATCTATAAAAGCTACAGTGGGATTGAGTACCACCTCTATCACTATGACCATGATAACCCGCCGCTTCAGCAACAGACACCCATCCGCAGGTCAAAAAAGAAAGGACGACAGCCTCGTTCTGCCAATAAGCAATCACCTTCTAACTCTGAACTGTCCCAGTCGCCCAGTCGTGAGGTGATGACGTATGCTCAGGCCCAGCGACTGGTGGAAGTGGAGTTACATGGAAAGGTCCACCGTATTAGCATCTTTGACAATCTGGATGTTGTTTCTGAAGATGACGATGCTCCAGAGGAAACACCTGAGAATGGGAGCAATAAGGAAAATAATGAAACTCCAACTGCAACTCCTAAGTCTGGAAAACATAAGAACAAGGAAAAGAGGAAGGACTCAAATCACCACCATCATCACACGGCATCTGCGGGCACCACACAAAAGCTTCCTGAAGTGGTTTACCGGGAGCTAGACAATGATGTACCAGATGCTCCTGCTCGGCCTTCCTCCTATTACAGGTAAGTCCAAAACAACTGAGTAACTAGCTGGTTTTGTTTCTTTATCACCTGGGAAATGGATTTATATTAATCTGTAATAGCATCATCTGTCATTTTGGTAAAACCTTACACATGTTTTTACATTTTAATTATAATATTTAATCATACATAAGATAAGGCCCAAATAGACCAATCTCTAATAAATAGTTTCTTGTATAAATTTGTAATAGTTCAATTTCCAAGTGAGAACAAGTGTCACAAACACAAATTAGTGTTGAAAACCTGCTTATGTGACTTGATCAGTGTCACTGAGCATATCGATTAGTTAAAGATGAACTCAAGGCAAACGGCTGGCAGAGTAAACAGATAATTTTTATATCTGTAAGCTATTTTGCCTTTTCAAAGGATTTGTTTGTTTTTTTACCCGTCCTGAGATTAGACTGCTATACTGTGTGGGCCAGCAGGTGACCTGACTGCTATCTCTTCTGCAGTAAGAAATAGTTAGGCTGGGAGCATGGACGTGGCCTATGGTTGGATAGTGAAGGAACAGCAGCAGGTTGATAAGGTCATCCCTTGCTGCTCTTGTCAGTATATTTGCATGCATTTCATTGGGTTTTCTTCTTGTACTGCTCCTCCAAGCTAAGTTCTACTGTACAGGGGTTCACAAGATGTTGATTTGAAGACAACCCTTTTGCTGACGCCAATGTTAACCTTGGCAGCACCGCTGGCATGTACACAAAGTCCCAGCCACTATAGCAGCCTGGAGTTTGTTCTAATTTTCACTCCTGGCTGCCGGCTATGTACTAGATGTGCTTCAGGCAGCTGTAAAACTGCCTGATCACTCCTACATGTAGTAAAAGGTTTGACTTGTTAGTTGTAGTGCGTGTACTGCTGGAACACGCACACACAGGCATGCTTGTATCTAGTACTCACAAGCAAACAACAAAAGCACATAACCTGACACTGTTTAAGTGTACTGGTTAATTTTATTTTGGATTGATATTTGTGGATAACATGCCGTGCCGACCACCATTTTTTTTCTTTTTACAATTGGACTTTGTAACTTTATAAATATTTATTGTTACCAACATTAAACAATTTGGAAAGCTCTGATTTTGGTAATATACTGTACTTCTATGGCATGTTTGCTATTCCCGATTATCAATAATCTACCTAAGGCCCTATTTATATTATTGCACATCATTGCTCACTACTTGCAATGGTGCTATGAGGTGCCATTCATTCTAAATGGCACGCTGGATCACCTTGCTGATGCAGGTGTGCTTCAGCACACTGCCCAAAAAGGTGCAGGTTCGATTTCTGAGCTGTTGAGGCGTGTTGCCAACCCATTCATTTTGAATGGGCTGCCTTATTCTGCACATACATTAATGCATGGTGTTAACGTGTGTGTGTTACTGCAAAGCACCTCATTGTTTAGGTGTGAACCTAGCCTAATAGAGTTGTGCATTTACTCCTCTCTTATTTTCCTCACTTGCCTTTTAAGGTACATTGAAAAGTCTGCAGAAGAAATGGATGAAGAAGTGGAGTATGATATGGATGAAGAGGACTACATATGGCTGGATATTATGAACGAACGACGAAAGACTGAGTGTCTCAATTGCATCCCACAGGAGACCTTTGAATACCTAATGGACCGGCTGGAAAAGGAGTCCTACTTTGAAAGCCATAATAAAGGGGATCCAAACGCGTTAATAGATGAGGATGCTGTGTGCTGCATTTGCAATGATGGGGAATGTCAGAATAGTAATGTGATATTATTCTGTGATATGTGTAACTTGGCTGTGCACCAGGAGTGCTATGGGGTTCCCTACATACCAGAGGGACAGTGGCTTTGTAGAAGGTGTCTTCAGTCGCCTTCTAGAGCAGTAGACTGTGCACTTTGCCCAAACAAGGGAGGGGCATTTAAACAGACAGATGATGGGCGCTGGGCACACGTAGTTTGTGCTCTTTGGATCCCAGAGGTTTGTTTTGCTAATACAGTCTTCCTCGAACCTATAGACAGCATTGAGCACATCCCACCTGCCCGCTGGAAGCTAACTTGCTATATCTGTAAACAACGTGGCTCTGGAGCCTGTATTCAGTGCCATAAAGCAAACTGCTACACTGCCTTCCATGTCACTTGTGCACAGCAGGCTGGCCTCTACATGAAAATGGAACCCGTGCGGGAAACGGGTGCCAACGGAACATCTTTTAGCGTCCGCAAAACGGCGTATTGCGATATCCACACCCCTCCTGGGTCTGTCTGCAAACTCCCAGCCCTCTCCCACAGTGAGGGAGAGGAGGAAGATGATGATGAGGAAGAGGAAGGAAAAGTTTGGAGCTCGGAAAAAGTAAAAAAGGCAAAGGCCAAATCGAGGATCAAAATGAAGAAAGCCCGGAAAATCCTTGCTGAGAAAAGAGCAGCTGCTCCAGTCGTGTCTGTTCCTTGCATTCCTCCTCACAGGTAAATAGTTCATAGTAATAGGAAAGGCAAAGTTAATAGTCAGCTTGGGGAGGCCTGAACTTCTTCAGGTTTTCAATATCTCCTATTATTAAAGTGATATTAAACTCAGGAGTTAAATCTTAAAAATGCATTCAAGTACCCTAACTTTTAACAAAAATGTATCTTATTTGTGTATCACTCGGCTGTAGATCCTCAAATCATCTCTGAATTGGTGCTGACACTGTCCTTCCTTCTGGAGGGGGACTACTTTTGTTCCCCGTGGTCCCTGTGTGTGTTATAAATAGCAATAGATCAGGATGACAATCTCTTTGGCAGAGTCCTTAAAATTTGTAAAAAATCTGTTTGTGGGTGAATACAGGATCATCTACTCTCCCCTCTTGCTTTTGTATTCAGACAGCCGCTGCACCCACAGCTGTCTGCATACCCTGAACAGTGACAGTACCTTATAGGAAGCCTGCACTGTTTGGCCAAACATTTTCCACCTAACGCCTCCTGATTTTTCAATCGTTTTTTGTGGAACCAGGTGTTGCCGACAGGGCCAGTCACTGCTTGAATTTTGGCTGATTTAGCAGGAATCAGTCAAATTCAAGCTTTAGAATGGCAGATGCGGCATGCTTTCAGGTGCAGTTATTCTGAATTTAATTCCTTCAGAGCTGTTTTTGCCCTCCTCCTGTGCTACATCAAGCTGTCTTTGCATTCCCATTGATTTGTATGGGATAAAAAGCAGGTGTGATGCAAGTTAATGCCCATGTACACAATTCCTAAAGCTACCCACACACCTTACAATTTATCTGCAGATTTTCTGTGGTCAGATGGAAAAGGTGCAACAGATTCCTCCATCTACACTACACTGTGTGGATGGAGTAATCTCCACCTGGGCCAATCTGTTGCACTTTTTCCATCTGACCACAGAAAATCTGCAGATAAATTGTAAGGTGTGTGGGCACCTTAAGGCTGTCCATTGGCACATAGTGGTGGTGGGGTATGATTTTTGCAGTCTCTGATAGATTCAAGGAACGCTAGGCGACCTATCCAGCACTGGAATATCTGCCTTTTTTTTTTTTGTTCCTGAGAAGCTCTAAGAATGAGACCTCGCCACCAAATCTCCAATCCTACCCAACCTTTAAAGCCATTACAAAGGTAAATGATGGTGTTATGTTCTTGCCAGTTCTACACAATGAGCCTACACAAATAATTAAGGATTCCGGTTTCAAGAGAGCGATACCTTTGTTATGTCTTTGTTGGAGGAAACTAATGACCAACTATTGTTTGAAAAGAAGCGGGATAGTTTTTAGCCCACCTGTGCATACCTAGCAATGAAATGGCTGTTTGTTTGTTTTTTGTAGGATGTCTGACCTTTTCTTCTTAAATTCTGCATTGATTTGTCTGCACAAGTTACTGTTTTTAGCTTGCTTGCATTGTTATAACAACCAGTATTCTAACTGTTACAGTATTTATAATTTAACTATGACCAAATGACATTTAGCTCTTCTTGGAAAGACCACTTCATCTATCCTGTGTGTGCTCAGTGCTGCACTTGGGGGTTTACTTTTTTCTTCAGTGTGCTTGATGGACAACAGACACAAGTTGCTGGTAGGAGAGACTAAAGGATAATCATGCAAGAGTTAGCAGGTCTTGTCCGATTGGGAACCTCCTTGTAAGTACGTTGTGGTGTCTGGGTTCTGCTCTGGAGCACCATCTAGACCTCATCTTTCTGTATGGACTACCCATTTAGTGATGGCCTGTTTTACAGCTCAACGTCATGATAATTCAGAAGGTCCAAAGGGATACGGGGAACATCAGATTTTACATGTGCTATGAGGATTGTAAACATTCATTTGCTGCGCAGGTTAATCTTAACATATGGTGTAGGACACTGATGAAAAGCATAATAGATTAAAAAGAGAAAAAAGGATGCACATACTTTGTGGCTGTAAAAGAAAATGTGCCTGATTTTTTTAAAGCAATCCTAACATAACCCCCTGCAGTTCTATGACTGAGGGTGCATTCACACCAAAATTGGAAGGAAATCGCAAGTCAACGGACGGTCCGTTGACTTGCAATTGTACCTCCCGATCCGTTGCGTTGTGATCCACTTTTTAACTGATGCTAACAGAAGGGCACCGAAAAATGAATGGGGCTAGTTCACACTGGATCTGGTGCGTTAAAAAAAAGTAGTGCATGTTCTACGTTTTTCAGCATAATGGAACGGTGTAAACTTTCCTCCTTCAAACCCATTCATTTTTCAGTGCCCGTGCGTTGCGATCCATATGGATCCGGTGTGAATGGGCCCTGAATGTAATAGGCAGTGATGTTATCTGGTCCGGGAAACTCTTCAGCAGTACGCAAACACGGCCATGTCTGCAGAACCCGTGTCCACTCTCAATGGGCCTGATCTGCATTCAGGAAGAGACACATTTTGGGTGGTTGTTCCTTTCATCTCCTGCAGCTGAAGAGAACCTAGAGCAGTTGATAGGTAATATATGAGCTCATCACAGGCTTGTCACACATTTTAATTGAAGCAGTAGGCCAAGTTGAGTGGCCACATTATGTCTGCTGAGGGCCATACCTACCTAAATCTAGAAAAAGATTTTAGCAATTGGCAATTACCATTATAGTACTAATTGCAACTTATAAAATTTTATCCTAGAGATCGGACACAAAACATTTCCTCACATATTCAAGTGCAACATTTATATAAGGAAGTGTAGCTTTCATCAACAGGAGAACAGCTCAGTCCTCATGTAGTTGAATTCTCTTAAAGCTGTACTCAAGGCATAGAAACATTCATTTATATTGATTACTAACCATGAAGACTATAAATCAATTTCTTGTGTGCCAAATGCCTTTTGAATACCCAGTTATCTTGTGAGAGTAGCAGTGACATCAACGCTGTGTTGTACATAGCCTGTGCAGCGATCAGAGCTGTGGGAGGGGCCCAGCAGGCTCCACCCACTACACAGCCGAAGACTACAGGAGGGGGCGGAGACAATACCAGTCACTCTGCACAAAGAGAACACAGCAATGACCGATCTTTACCACAGGAGGGGGCGGAGACAAGACCAGTCACTCTGCACAAGGGGAGAGAGCAGCAGTGACCGATCTTTATTACAGGAGGGGGTGTAGACAAGACCAGTCACTCTGCACAAGGAGAGAGCAGCAGTGACAGGTCTTTACCACTGGAGGGGGCAGAGACAAGACCAGTCACTCTGCACAAGGAGAGAGAACAGCAGTGACCACTCTTTATTACAGGAAGCTCCTGCACAGAAGCAGAGTTTTACAAAGGATCACTGCACAGATTTGGAAGAAATACACAAAACACACTAGGATTTAAGTAAGAATTTGCATGGCTCATGCTTGTATTTAGACAGTACATGCTTATCCCTAGAGTTGAGCTTTAAACCAAGTGAGGGTCGCAAAGACATGGTATTGTGCTGCACTCAATCTAAAAACTTCAGCAGGCCATTCCTGGCTTATTATATCAGTTCATAGAACAGCGGGAGAGGCAGCATTAATTAAGTCAGCCTTCAAACCATGCCAGATCTTTAAAAAAAACAAAACTCAGAGCTGGTACATGTGACGAGTGGTAAGCTTCTAACAGTGTAGCTTTTTATCTGTATACATTGTTTACATATGTCAGCTGTAATCTTGGCGTTCAGCCTGTTCCCAGTTAACGAAACAAACTGTTTCCTGTAATGGCAGACTTGTGTCTTTGATGAGTAATGAGAGTCCTCACTCTAAAGTCCTTTTTTTTTTTTCTTGAGCTCTTCTCGTCTATTATACATACAGGCAACAAACCTTAATCTTAATGATTATAACTCCTCGGTTGGTTGGCTGCTAAAGTTTTTTTTTTTTTTTTTCCTTTTGATTTTTCCACACAGAACCCAAAAGTTGCAAGATCTGCGACAAATTTAAGCATCTTTTGCCATGATTAGAAGAGAGTCGGGCTATGTAGAGAAAATTAATGAGCTCCTCCAACATCTAGAATTACTCGTTATCGCTCCTAGTAAATGCCTATACTGGGGGCATGTCAGACTCTAAGGAAGCTTCGGGCCAAATTGACTGCAATAAACCTCCATAGGACTGCCCTATGTCTACTGAGGTTCAGAGCAGCTGCATTGTCCATCGCAGTCCGAATGCAGGAAATAGGCACATCATTGGCGTATTTAAGGGCCTGTTCACACCGAAATTTGGAAGGAAATCGTAAGTCTACAGACGGCCCGTGGACCTCTGTTGACTTCTGCTTCTGTTTTTTTAGGGGGGTCCAAACTTAATTTTAATGAACATGTCCTTAGTGGACAAACATTAATGTATTTCTTTTTCCGTTGCATTATGTTGCGATTACATCTGTTTTTGTTACGTTGCGCTGAAAAAAAAGTAGAACATAAAGCATACTCTACTTTTTTTTTCATCGCACTGGAACGGTATGGATAGCAGCGGCGTGAACTGGTCCCATTTAGTTTTCGGCGCCCTTGTGTTGGCATCCGTTGAAAAATGGATCGCGACACAACGGATATGGTGTGAATGAGGCTTAAAAAAAAAAGTTGAATTTTTCCCTTGGTGCAGTGTGTTCCAAAGAACTAGAGCACGTCACATTGCAGTGCAGGGCATGTAATAGTATACAGTCTAAAACATTTTTATGAAGTGTTTAGGAAACGCATCACGTGTTGACACGTGCATTATGGTGTGGCCATAAAACACCAGTCTGGCATGCTTGCTTTGCAGGAACACATTGGAATATCTTTGGGTGAACAGGTGTCCATATCTTCCTTTACTGGGAAGAAAAGGAAACAGATACTTGCTGTGTGTGCCTTTCATATGTCAGGCAATCGGGGAGAAAATTGTGCCGTAACAAAGGTGCTCTTGGTTTGTGTGCAGTGATGGACTGACGTCACTGCCTGTGGTCATCAACAGTGACAGACTGTAACTGGATCATGCAAAAATTCCTGGTCTACACCCACTTCTTAACTATTTTGGCATGTGGTGAGTTCTGGGGGTGAGGTGGTGACAGATGTGTTTGCACTCCGCAATCCATTTCATCTTTTATTTTTAACTGAAGTGTTTTTCTGATAAATGTTTTATTTTGTTAAATGCATTTGTGCCTTCTTATTCTTTCAAGAAATTGTAAAAGTGCATATTTTTAGTAAATCGCAGTCTAGACTTTAAATTGACTTGCTCCTAGATGTGTGTACCAACGTATTCCTGTTGCAGTAATAGGTAGGGGTGCCTTTTGTTGCCCTTTATTGTCAAAACTCTGAAAATACAGCATGCATGCTGTGATCAGAACCCTTGCAAACAAGTGAAAGTCTTTCACATGCAGTCATTTGCAGTATAGGAATAGCATGTGAAAGGGCAATAATAAAATAGGCTTTTCATTCGTGTTGCACTTTAACTGCTTTATATATTTTATATCTAATATGGCTGTATATATTTTTTTCAGGCTCAGTAAGATCACCAACTGCCTAACCATCCAGAGGAAAAGCCAGTTCATGCAGAGGCTACATAGCTACTGGACATTAAAGAGACAATCCCGGAATGGCGTTCCCTTATTGCGCCGCCTACAGACACATTTGCAGTCACAGCGGAACTGTGAGCAGGTCAGATAGTACCATGGTGGGTGGGTGGAGCAGTGTTTTTCTCTTGTAGCTTTGTAATGAAGTAGAAAGAGTTTTTAAGGGGGTTAATGGCACAAAGCTGAACTCCATGCAAAAACTTTTTATTTATTTATATTCCTCAATAGCCACAAAGGGTAAGAACCCACTCTGCGTGCATCAAATGCCATCGCAAACACCGTTATCACCATGTAGAAGTAGCAGTGATATTGCACTGTGCTGTACATATTCTTTACATAGCCTGTGGAGACAGCAGACTTGTGGTGGCGGCCCAGGAGGTCCACACACTACAGACTGCCTGCATAAAACTACGGGAAGGGGTGGACACAAGACCAGTCACCCTGCACAGGGAGAGAGCAGCACTGACCAGTCTTTGTTAAAGAAAACTCTTGCAGGAGTTGTCTTTTATTAGCACACAGATCTGAAAGAAAGAGGACACCAAGATTCTATTAAGAATACTCCTTGCATTTAGACAGTATTTGTTTAATGGCAGCCTCCAGAAGGTGTGTTTTCCACTAAAATTCCTTACTTTGTGCACTGTGTGCAAACAGCAACTAGGGGAGCAAGAAAAAAACTGTTACTTCAGCAATCTACAATGATTGCAAGGATAAAATATTAAGAGTTTTAAACTGGCCTTACGCCTATAGATCTGCAGATTTTCTATGGTCAGATGGAAAAAGTGCAACAGATTCCTCCATCGATGCTAAACTGGGTGGATGGAGGAATCTCCACTGGGCCAAGCTTCAGTATTTTGCTAGTTGGCCCCGCTGGCTCTCAAAATACCTCAACAAATCTGGATGCAGGCGTAGATGGAGGAATCTGTTGCACTTTTTCCATCTGACCATAGAAAATCTGCAGATAATTGTAAGGTGTGTGACCAGCTTCAGGTTGCACATGGAAAGGGATTCCAAAAGTAATTAAGCTATTTGCCATCATGTAATGAATACCGCTATTTGATTAAAAGAAAAACAATTAAATATGTGTGTGTGTATGATTGATGTATACATATACAGAATCTGGAGCAGCTGATCATGGCAACCAATCAGCTTCTGTCTTTTATTTTCAAAGCTTAACTGAGCAAACTGACCATACCATGGGCAACTGCTCCAGATCCTGTCTGGTCAAGTTTTGATATATTCCCTCCACAGTATGTAACTCGTTTATTTTTCTGTATAAGACGTGGTTCTGACAGTGACAATGCTCATTTTAAATGAGACATAGTTAGACTGACATTCAGCTTAACTAGGAGCCGCTACAGGAATGTGCAAATCTAATTGCTCATCTATACTTAATAAATGGTGGTTGTCTGGCTGTCATGCCAGTTGTTTTAATACGTTAAATCTCCGGCACAGAACAAGTATTTCCTGCATGCTTGTTCTGGGTGCGTGACTCAAGTGTAAAGGTGCCCATACACCTTACAATTATCTGCAGATTTTCTATGGTCAGATGGAAAAAGTGCAACAGATTCTTCCATCTATGCTAAACTGGGTGGATGAAGGAATCTCCCACTGGGCCAAGTTTCAGTATCTTGCTATTCAGCCCCACTGTCTGTCAAAATACCTGAACAATCTGTTTGGATGCAGGCACTGTTCAGGTGTTTTGAGAGCCGACTAGCAAGATTACGGAAGCTTGGCCCAGGTGGAGATTACTCCATCCACACAGTTAAGTGTAGATGGAGGAATCTGTTGCACATTTCCATCTGACCACAGAAAATCTGCAAATTAATTGTAAGGTGTATGGCCAGACTACATTTTCAGGAGCTCAAAGCCTCTTGATTAGCTGCTGCAGGATAACATAACGCACACGCATGTGCGAGAGTTCATAAATCACAACATATGCCAAATTGCATGTTCAGCTCTGAGTACATTTTCAATAAGAAGGTAAACAAGCAAGCAAGAACCCTTTAGCACAGAAGAGACCTAGTATGTCTCTTGCAATAAAAAATCCTGTCTGGTCACTGTTTTTAATTTTTACATAAAATTCCACATTCGTGGCAGTCCATGCATTTTGCTCAGTACAAGTGTCATTTTATTTAAAGCAACCCTGTCACAAATCTAAAAATCGTTATAAATGATACCCTGCAAAAGAATAATGTAAATACAAAGCTTTTCAGCTGAATGTTGCTCCACTGCTGATGAATCTTTCCTTGAAATGTGCTGGAAAATCAACACTCCTGGGAGTGGTGAACTACTGTGTCCACCACGGCGCTTGCTGGTTTCTCCCGCCGACCTCCACATCAGTACGGGACACCAAAGTGATGTGGAGGCCGGTGGGAGGAACCAGCAAGCACTGCAGGGAACACAGGAGATCAGCATCAAATGTTCTGTTGGGGATAATTCTTCTGCAGCGGAGTGGCAGTTAGTGGAAAAGGTGAGTAGTAACATTCATTTGAGTTTCGGCAGTTTTTAGATTCATGACAGGGTTGCTTTAATAGGACTGATATATGTAGCAGTGGTTTTAATAAGTGTTCCTGTTCATGTTATTGCTGAATGATGTTAAAGCAGTGCAATATGTCAGCACAGGCTTTGCCGTGTACCATCTAAAATTCCATATAGGGATGCAAAGTGGTTACTGTTACTTTAAAAACTGTGCTTATTGAATACATCTGGAGCTCTTTACGATATATAATAAACGACAGCCTAGGATATTATAGAAGCTGGGTAAGTACTTTCCTATGAGCATGAATAAATTAAAAGCGTGTATTCTCCCAATAGGAGATGAAGTGGAGGATACCCTTGGCTGAAGAGACCTCTATTCACCAGGGAACAATCTCTAAACCAAACAATGAGATTGGAGACCAAGCAGTGAAGGTGATTATAAGGAGCATGCATTGTAGTGACAGTGACTTGCTTTTCTATTGAAATTCCATGATTTACCTGTATGTGGATTGTTAACACGTGGTCCATGTCCATGCAGTCTGAGATTGGTGCATTTTATTTTATTTTTTTTAGTATACCTTTATCTCAAACAAAATTATTTGTTTCTGGCAGTGTAATGATCAAGCATTTTTTTTTTTTCAGACCTTATTCAAATGAGCTACATCTTGTATAAGAGCTGCATGTAGAGCAAGCTTTGGCAAAGCATTTTGGCATGCCTCAAACCGCTTTGTTTAAGCTTTTAAACTTTTGCTGCCAGTTAAATGTACCTCACATCAGGGCATTGAAAGAGTTAAAACAAGCTCACGGCTGTAATGGCAGCCATGACCGTGTTTTAAAATTGTTCAGCGGGCTCTGGGCTTTATTGTAGAAGTGATCGGGGTGGCTGGGCTTGATCTGTTAAGGCAAAGTGCAGGGGAGGTAATAGGGCTCAAAAGACCCCTAATACTTTCATATGAAAGACCTGTCACTTGCACAGTGCTACCATGTGATAGCAATACAGATAAGTTTAAAAAAAACTTAAATTAATCAAATACATGTAAAGAAAGGCCGTACATGCACATATGTAAAAATAATCGCACCAACGAGGTACGTACATAAACACATATTGCTTATCGCAGAGCACGCTGGAGTAGAAGAATAATTCTAAGGCTATCATTTAGACATATTTGCACTCAGAAATGGGTTATTGCTATTTAATATTGTAGTACAGCTTGTTGTCACTGTGTGCAGTAACCTTTGAGAAGCAATGAGATTTTACTTTGGACCGATATGGAGAAAAGCCATTGAGATGAGTTACTGAACCTTGCTCGTAGTCATTGGGCTTTGCAAAATTTTTGGAGGCGGACGTGTGGTTTTCTGACTGACAGGTGCTTAAATATTCCTGAAGATTAGCACTGTATGATCAGGTTCTAGGATGTAAGTACAGTGGTACCTCGGTTCACGAGCGCTTCGGTTCGCGAACAGGAAGTTCAGCAAAATTTTGCTTCCGTTTACGAACTCCGCATCGGGTGACGAACACAGCCGCAGCCATCTTCCCCGCTCTGACACTGGTCGTGGCTTCCTCTAGTCGAGCTCGCGGTCTGATCACAGTTTGATTCGGTTCGCGACCAGAATCGTGGAACGAATTAAGTTTGTGAACCGAGGTACCACTGTATATCATTTTTTTTTAGTTTTAAATGGGAAAAGTTGAAGATGTTTAAGATCTAAAAAAACAAGCCACCTTCTTAAAAGAACATTAAACAATTCACTTGTATGTGTGTTAGTTTCCTTATGTGCACCAAGCTGGTCCTGTTGTTTTCATGAACCTATGTCCAGTCTATGTGTGTTTTTTGTCATCTATTTTCAGCAGAAAGTTCTTTTGGCTTTTTTTAAATCTGTAATGCCCTTCATTGGGATTGCAACACAGGAAGACAGCTCTGTTGACAGTCACATTTCTCATCTCACCACCAGAACTCTGCCTCAGTCGTCCTTTATACTGTCTGTCATTAAAAGTGTGTATTTATATAAAACTTCAAGCCTAATAAGAGTCTCTTTCAACAGAAAGACTCTACGGACAAAAACTGGGTGTTGAAAGAACAGTTAAAGTCTTGGCAAAGGCTCCGACATGACCTGGAGCGGGCACGCTTGCTGGTAGAGTTGATACGCAAGCGGGAGAAGCTGAAGAGAGAAACGGTACAGGGCGAACTAATGCCTCCTTGAGAACATCTTTCATCCTGCACAGTTTGCCATTGTTCCATGTTGACTTTCCCTCCTGTTTTTCTGTTTTGCAGATTAAAATCCAGCAGTTGGCTCTAGAAGTCCAGCTAACCCCTTTTCTTATTCTCTTGAGAAAAACATTAGAGTTGTTGCAAGAGAAAGATACCAGCAATTTGTTTACTGAGCCGGTTCCTCTCTCCGAGGTAACAGAACTGTACAAAGTAAGAATCCAATCTCCACCCATGTCTTATCTACATCTCATGAATGTCATCAATGTGTATTGTCTATGACCTTTCTACTTCTGCAGCATTCCAGCACACAGAACAAAGCAGAGGTCGGCTGAGCTCATTTGTAAGACTGAGGCCTGGTTCACACCTGGGCGTTTTACAGCGCGTTCCTACACACTGTAAAACGCTCAACATATGAAAACCAATAATTGCCTATGGGCATGGTTCCCACCTGGGCGTTTTCAAGCGCGTAGGAACGCGCTGAAAAACGCCCTACGCCCAAAGAAGTACAGGAGCTTCTTTGGGGCGTTTTGCCGAGTGTGGATCGGGGGTGTCTTCGGCGGCTGCCGAGTTCCGGGTTCCGTCCCTTGCGAGTGGCCGCATCGCAGGGGGGCGGAGCCGGCTGGAAGTTTAAAAGTGAAACAAAAAAAACTTTTTTTTTTAATAGAAAAAAAAATCATACCGCCAGTGAAACGCGCGTTTCACTGAACGAATAAACGCGGAAAAAAACGAGCATAAAAAACCCGCTCAGGTGTGAACCCAGCCTGAAGTGTCCTTTAAGCAGCCAGGAAGATAGGCTTTAATTGAAGAAATTAAAATACTAAAGACTTATGAAGTTAGGTGGCAGCTGTCATTTCTTTAGTCATGTTGGCTACCAGACCCCTGGGATCTGCCTCTACTTGATGTAAGCCATACCCTATACAAATTTAGACACAAAATACAGATGCTATGCACTGAACAACTGAGTTCCATTCTGGAAACTAGGTTAGGTGAATTAGTCGCTAAGTGCGGAATAGAGGAAATCGTCTCTAATATACGGTATAGTGTACAATGCAGACCATTGCGAGAGCTGGTCGATTTTACTTAAGATTGCAAACTGTAAATGTACTTGTACTGTGTACATCACCAACAGGTCAGAGAGCTGTTCGTAAGTCCGGACAGGCGTTAAACAGGTAGGTCATTAAGTGAGGAGTAGCCCCCTCTGGGTTGTACCTACAGGACAGCAGTGACTAACCAGTTTCAGCTTATTCTCAATGATTTTGATGTGCCTGTCAACTAAATAAAAGTTCCAATACAAGAGTTACCCACAAATCTGGAAGAAATACACAAAGCTCACCAAGATTTAAGTAGAGATAGACATTGTAATTGTATGTTTTCCCTGAATTTCAGCTTTAAATGCTATTTTATAGATTTGAACTCGGCACTTGTATATGCAAAGCAGCCACTAATTGCTTCCCTCTGAAGTGTCTGGTTCACTTGGTCTGTCCAATTTGCAGTAAATCGCGGATCAGTTTGCTATGTTTTAACATTCAATTATTTCAGTTTTGTTTTGTTTTATGAAATATATCTCGCAAGTTGCTTCTGCTTATGAAGGACCTGGTGCTTTTATTTTTTGTCCATCTCAGCGACCAGACTACCTAGAACACATTAAGAAGCCGATGGACTTCCAAACGATGAAGGCTAACCTAGAAGCTCTCCGCTATCAAAACTTTGACCAGTTTGAGGAGGACTTTAGCTTGATAGTTAACAACTGCATCAAGTACAATGCCAAGGACACCATCTTCTACCGAGCGGCTGCCCGACTAAAAGAGCAGGGGACGGCAGTGATCCGACAGGCTCGCCGCCAGGCAGAGAAAATTGGTATTGATTTTGAGACCGGAATGCACGTTCCCCAAATCACAGCAGGAAATGAGACAGGACGTCATAATCGGGAGAATGGTACGTAGACGTTGTGGAGCTGTGCCATCTATAGGCTTTATCTCAACTCCAGCAAAAATCTGTTTGGGTTATTCTTTTAAGGAGAAGAGATTTGGGGTCTGCATCAGGTTTTAAATGCTGCCCACACCCTCCCCATCGTTTTTGTTTTTAGTGATAAGCCCCACCTTCATTAAAGTTTAAACCTGGTCTTGAGCTTTGCTCAATTTGTGCGTGTATCAGCTATGTAGTAGTTAAAGCTGAACTCCGAGAATTAAAAGAATTTTGCAGGTAAGACAGCTCACGTATATGTATTTAATCTGTGTATATAGCTGTTTGCCTGGAGTTCCGCTTTAAGGTGAAAAAAGGCTATTTGGATGCATGCAGAAACAGATGAAATGTAACATGGGCAAACACGAAAACCTTCCTTGCTTACAGAACTTGAATGCCTTGTCTCCCTCATTCCCCCCCCCCCTTTGCACAACTTTGTTTTGTTTTTCTAAGAGTATAGGTGTATTTTGAATTCCTCCCAAAACACAGATACTTCCTCCTTGGGTGAGCACTAGCTAGCTTCTGTATATATTTGAATGGCGGATTTTCCACAATGATTTGTGTGTCTGTCCTTGTTAAAAGTACATGTCAAAAGCATAAGTCTCTCACAGTTGGACTTCTCAACTATTTTCAATAAGGACTGAAAATAAGGTGCATCCCTAGCTTCTCTCCTCCCCACTTGGTGCCGGTCTGTATTCTCTCTGATCCCCATTGCTCTCCCCCCGCCTGTGTGGGCAGCGGGGATCGGAGGGGACACAGACTGGCGCCCAGCAGGGAGGAGAGAAACTGTCAGGTGGCAGTGCGGGGAGGAGACAGCTATCAGCTGTCACAAAAGGCCCAGCTCTCCTCCCGCACCGCCCTGCTTGGCCTCCTGTATCAGGCTAGTCAGGATGGGGAGCGGAGTACAAACACTCGGTGATCAGTACTGACTGAGTGTTTGTAAATTACTTTGGGCATGGTATGCTTACTGTTACCCAAGTTATGAATGAACAGGAAGTGCTATACATCACTTCCTGTACATTCATGATTGTGGACATAGTAACTGATACTATATCCACAGGTTATGAATGGACAGGAGCACTCAGTATAGAGGCTTCCTGTTCATTCATAACAGGGGCTGCAGAAAAAGAGATTTGATTCTGTGTCGATCTCTTTTTCTATCTTAAAAAGGAAATATCAGGGGTCTGTTTAGACCAGAGTCATCCTTAAATGCTGCCACATAATGCGAGTCACCATCGTCCAGCGGACTTATCGTTCTTGGATGATGTCGGCTCGTACACATTACTCGCCTCTATTGTTGAAGAGAAATGTTATTGCAAATAACGTTATTCGCTATCAGTAAATCATTGCATCTCTCAGCAGATTATGAGCGCACCCCGCAGTCTGACAGTCGTAAACCCCTTCCACTAGAAGAGCAGCTGAAAATCCAGCTAGCCAGGCTGGACGATGTAAACGCAGCCAAGCACAGCATAGGAAAAGCGCGCCAAGCCAAGATGATCAGGAAGGAAATCACATCCATCCGTCGCAAGATGGCGCACCAGCAAGAGTCTAGAAGGGACAGAGCCAACGACAGGCACGGCGCTGGCGGCGGGAGAGGAGCCCTGCCTTTGCGCGGCCCTTCAGAGAAGGATGGACAGACGGACAGTGCTGCAGAAGAGAGCAGCAGTCAGGAGACGGGGAAAGGTACTGACCTGTGTTAATGGACTGCTTTCTGTTCTCAGGGGCCTCTTCTGCAGCTCTGTTTAGTTTCAAATCTGTTTACATTTGTGTGTGTGATTGTTCGCTTTCATATGGCACTTTTTTTCTTTTTTTGTCTTTTTATAAATGTACTCACTACCATAGTTGGGCCGTGTGTGGCTGTACAGCTCTGTAAGTCCCATCATGATCTGCTGGAGATCCACATGTTGACTTAAGTCTGCTTTATAGTGTAAATGCACTCGGCTTACCTTATATAGAAAATCACGGTTTGGTCTGAATTTTCGGTCCTAGAATGTGAAACTGCTGCTATATCTGTTAGGTGTGATCATGTGTTTACATAGTTTATACCTGAAACCATTGTGATGGCCCTTGCCTACAAACAGTTAAAATAATGTCTGTTGAAAGTGCACCTCCTTGTAGCCTGAAATGGTTGTCTACATAAAAAAACTCTGGGTGAAGGAGAAGCTGTAAGTAAGGCATACCTGTCACATGTCAAAGGAAGCAAACTACACCGCTTGAGAACAGGCATTTCACTGTGCCATATGTCACTTTTAGGGCCCGTTGCAGTAATGCATGCACATTAAAATTGGGTTGATGAACAGGCCAAAATTCGCTCTGTGGGTGGCCCTGTCCGCAGCTTTCCACCCGACAACTTTCGATCAGAAAATCAAAGCTGGTTGAAATATTTTTAGCCAATCGGCTGCAATCGCTGTCCAGGTATTCTGACGGCAGCAAACCTGCCGCTATCTGACTGCAATAGCCCAGCTGGACAATCGTCCATTCACACTAGGTAGCATGGATGGAGGAATTGATGAGATTATTTTCATTAAGCCTGCAGGCCAACTTTACATGACCCTGTTATCACACAAAAAAAATTAAGGATTCAAGTCCTGTGTGACAGCGCTCTCCTGGGAGGTGGGGGATGGGTGGTTCTGTGTTGTTCAGAACTTTTTTAGTATTAGTTTGGTTAAGTGGGGGCTGTGTGGAGGAGGATGGTATTGAGGTGGGTATGGGTGCAAACAGAAAAACAGAGTCTGAGGCGCGACTCTGTTTTTCTGCTCCCGTACTGCTGCAAGTATTCGCTCCATCCGGTGCATGGAATACCTGTTCACCCCGACACATCCAGTGGTTTCTCCCACAGGTTTGTATGTCATAAAGTGACAAATGAGCCAGTAGCAAGGACCACTGCCTGCAGGGAGGAGGAGGTATTCGCTTACCCGGTACATAGACTACCTGCAGTGGCCAAGGAGCAAGTGAGGTGACAGTATTTAAAAGAGAACTATGGGGTAAGTGTTTTTCCCCATAGTTCTCTTAAGGGTCACAGGGGGACATATACTAGCATCTCCTCGTGACCCAAAGCTCAGTATGAAGTCCAAGAACGTCACCAGCACTCCAGTATAAACATGAAAAAAAGATCAATTTAATGACACATATTTGTCATACAATGCATGTGCTTTCGGGGCCTCACAGGGTCCCCTTCATCAGGCTCAGAATGTTATTTGTATGACAAATATGGGTCATTTAAATTGATCTTTTTTCATGTTAATACTGGAGTGCTGGTGACGTTCTTGGACTTTGTTATTGCACGGTGCCATCCGTGGTCATTGCAAGCACCCACCTGGACCAGACAGGTTTTCATTACTATCCGGTAAGGAGTGCAGCAAGATATATTGATACGTTTCCAATGCTCAGTATATCGCGAGTTACAGCTCCCGAAATACTGAAACCGCCGCAGCCGGGACGGATCCCAACAATGCTGTTGAGATCCACCCAGCTGTGTGAGTGACAGCTGGCTCTGCCTATCCAGACTGCATGCTGCCACCCTGAGGGCTTGTTCACACCAATTGCGGATTCCAGAGCAGTAGTTGTCGGAACGCACAGCATTGGCACACTAAACTTCTCCCTTCATTCTGGGGCGGGAGGGGGCGTGGCAGTGCATTGAAGTCAATGCGATTGGACGCTTGACAAAGCAATGCCTGCGTTCCGTTCCACTGCCAACGCAAAAGAAATGCTGCAAC